GAAGGCATTGGTCGCTGCTCCCGTCGGGCGCGCGGGCCCCTTGAAACCCCCGCGCGCGCCCGTCGCAGCGAGTGCCCGAGCAACTCTCGCATGCACCAGAAACGCTCCAGTTGGCACGAATCGCCCATGTCTTTCTCCTTCCCCTCCCCCCCCGCCACCTCCTCGCCCGCGGGCGATCACTGGGGGCCGGCGAGCGCGGCGCACGCAGCCACGACCTCTTCGCACGCCGAGATGCGTCGCACGCACGCGGCGCCGCGGTCGCTGTAGACCGCCTGGGATACACGACCGCGGCTTCGCTCAATACTCTCGCGCATGCTCCGAGACACCTTGGCCCCGGAGGTCCCCGACCCACGCGAGGGGAATTGGAACGCCCGGCGGCCTTGCAACGGCCTCCCTCGAGCACCATGACGCCTTGATGCACTAGGCGGCGCAGAAGCGCCTTCCACTTGGGGGCCTGTGCTGGAAAGCCCTGAAATCAGCATCTCGACGGCGCTGGCATCGCCGTTCGGAACCCGGGTGCGTTCACGGCCCGACACAGGTCGGGGGCGTTAGACTTTCCCAAAACACTGCTTGCACTTATGCGTTTGTATTGTTGGTATCATGAATATGGTTTGGTGGGCGGGCTGTCGGCCGCGCTGCCGCCGTCGCCGCCCCGTCGCCACGACCCGTCGCCGCCCGTCGTCTGAGAATCATGGTCGCGCCGGCGACATGGACTTTTCACCGGCCAGGCCGCGTCCACACCGGCCACCTGCGCACGCCCATCACGAAACTGGACCTTTCTCCGGGTCTTTCGCCGGCTGTCCGGGCGACCGCAGAACCGCCTCGCATGCTCCGCCGGCAACCCGCTGGCGATGCCCGACGGCCTCTACTGAAATCCCAGGGAATCTTCATCTGAACGAACCCAAAGAAATGCTTGGAACTCCCGCAGTAGCCTGAGGAATCCCGGGGGCACTTGCGGGGCATAATGGAATCCCGAAGAATCCGAAGGGATCCTGACGATTCCTGAGGGGTCCGCAAAAATCCGGACAGATCCTGAAGAATGCGGTAATCCTGAGGGGTCTGGAGCAATCCTGAAGGTTCCTGAGCCGAAGAATCCTGATGGACTCCAAGAAGCCTAAGAGATCTTAAGGCAGCCTTTGGACGCTGATCAGCTCACGACAAATCTTACAGCAGCCTTAGAAATCTTGACGAATCCTCAGGAATCGAAAAGAAAATTGCGAATCCTGACGAGTCTCGGGGAACTCCTAGGAATCACAAGCAATCCGAGGAATCGCAAGGATCCTCAGCCAAC